AGTTGTCTAATTTGTCAAAGTCTCTCTTTAAATGTGACAGCCAGAAATGGACACAATACTACAGATGTGGTTAATTACAGGGGGGTACTATTAATTTTTGTGACATATGGACACTATACTATTATCAGAATCTGAATTTGATTTTTTTTTCTTTTTTGCAGACACATCAAGCTGCTGGTTTATATTAACCTTCTTTTTCCTCAAAAATTGCCACCACGTCAAGTCACCTCCTTCCTTATAACACCAATGAATTATGATGCATTTACTGCTATAAAATATCTTTTTGCATAGCACTGCAGCCTATTTAAGCCATATTAACTCTACATTCTGCTATCTACTTATAACAGTTACCCCTTTAAGTCATTCCTGGATTTTAAAGCAAGCATCTTAGATCTTCATCAAAGTCATTCATAAAATTCATTGAAAAAGAGAAGACCCGGGCAAAGGCTTGGATCTTTCGCCAGGGACCACTCTTGGACCCCAACCCAGTAACCCACACACCTGGCGGGTGCTAGTTTAGCCTGCCTCACGCTTACAAAGCAATCTGGCTAGTCTACACACCCTCTCACATAAGAGCATCTAATGCCTTAACAAATGCTTTGCTGAAAGCAAGATTCACTTATGTTTCAAAACAAAGTGTACAAAACTACACATATTAAAATCATAGTCTTTGAAAAATACATATGCACACGGAACAAAGACTAGAAGGAAAGGAGCATCAATGGAAATGTCTATTCTAGCGTCAGGCTGTGGAGATTGTTTTTTATTCAATACTGTCTTTAGTTACATTGTTTAAAAATTGAAGTAGGAATTCTGCTTAGAGAGAATGTTGTTTGGAGGCAGTTCATATGAAACAGCTTTAAGAGCACTGAGACTCTTATCTGATGCTACCAACTTGAAAACCCCAATCAAAAAATGTTCATTTAAAAAGACTTGTTGATCCTTAGGAACACCAGCTTCTTTTTTTTTGAATTTTGCATTCCTGTTTTTCGCTAACATTTCTGGAAATCAGGAAGACAGTAGACCGGAGAACAGTATTCTAAAGTTTAGAAAAAGCTTGAATGTTTTGTGTGTGTGTGTGTGTGTGTGTGTGTGTGTGTGTGTGTGAGAGAGAGAGAGAGAGAGAGAGAGAAAGAGAGAGAGAGAATGAAAGTCTGTTCCTGACTGTCTGTCTGTTATGTCTGTCTCTCTATCTATGCTGGAGAAGTTCAAAAGGATGAAAAGGGAAAAAAAAGCCAACATGTTAATAGTTCTGTGAAGCTTTGGACTAAAACACAGCTCCATCCCAAGAATTTCTAGCGGACACATAAATTCATATCATCTATTCACCTGGAATCCTTTTTTTACACTAAAAGCAGGAAATAAGATCAGCAATAGGATTTGCACTTTGCTGTTTAGAGCTGAGGCAAGGGTAAGGTTTAAGAAAAGGAGTCAGAAAGAGTAAATGTGTGCTGCAGTTAGTAAAAAAGGAAAAGAAACAAAGTGGCTGGTTATTTGGGAGAAAATAAGATCTATAAATCCTGCCCTTACTGGAATCCTCAAACAATCTGAAAATTTGATGGAGAATTTTTAACAAGTCAGGGTTGCTTCACTGCTTCAGCATTTTGTTTAGAGCATGGTTTTCATCAGTGGTAAACCAGTGTTAGAATCTGAAATACATGTTGTCTTCATCTCTTTGAGGTGGTCTCTCACTAGTTTTCTCTGGTGCTGTCCCTTGCTATTTTTAATGTTTGAGAGAGAGACAAGTGAAAATTCCAATTTGCTTAGAAATACGAGTTGTCCTTTGTCCTAGAAGCTAAGCTAAATATATCAGGTAAACCAACAGCTTTTAGATTGATGGCAACTCTTATAATAAAGAGATGAGATGACCAGATACTAAGTCTAATATGATGACCAAATACTAAGTCCAGCTAATATTGACAACTGAAAATTTTACTTTGCTTAGAAATAAATTTTCCCTAGCATACTAAAAGTTAAGCCAAATGCATGTGGTAAATCAGCAGGTTCTTAGGTCCATAGCAAATTTTCATTTAAAAGAGATAAAATGTCCAACTAGAAAGTCTAGTTATTATTTGACAAATGAAAATTCCATTTTGTCTTGAAATACAATTTTCCTTCCACCCTACAAATTAGGCTGAATACATGAGGTAAGTCAAGAGTTTCACAGATACATGGCAAATTGTCATAAAATAGGTAAATGTCCAAGTAGAAAGTCTAGTTACTGCTTGACAAGGGAAAATTCTACTTTGTTTTGAAATACAATTTCCCCACTACATAAGAAGTTAAATACAGGTAGTAAATCAACAGCTTCATAGATCCATAGCAAGTGCTCATAAAAATGGACTAAACTGTCCAAATACAATGCCCAGTTATTATTTGATAAAAATAAATATGCTCATTAACACCTTTTTTTGCTTTACTTGCAATCTTGTGCAAAATGGGTAAGAAACAGTCAACACTGGGAAATATCTGAGAAAATCCAAAATTCACTTAGGATACTAAATGTCAAAAAAGTGTTTAAAATTCTTGTCTATTAATGGGGGGGTTGTTAATGTTTTGGTAGATAACACAAATGTTATCTAAAGTATTTTTCTATCAAAGTTGTATTTTTATGTTTATTTTTAATATTGTTTTGCTGTTTCAGATTTGAAAAGTTTTATAATTACTTACCTGTTGATATTGTTTTCTTAGAAAATTATATTTCTAAGCAAAGTAAAAATTATTGTATATGTTGAGAAATAAAAGCACAAGGAAATACACCAAAATGATAACTATGTGTATGTTATAATAGCGAAGTCAGGGGAAATTCTCAGTTCTCTAGTTTTAAATATATATGTACTAATGTTGTTCATCTAAAATTTTAATTAGAAAAAGTAATTAATATTATTTCCTTTAAAAAAAAAACCCTCTGCAAATTTACTGTTATTTGACTGTTAGGTTTCTCTGGAAAGAAAATTAATTTGGAAAATTAATTTGAAACCCTTTTTTATTTTTAAAAATAATATGCAGCTCTATGAAAAATATATATTATTTTGGTACATAAGTACGCATAAAGAAAGTCTGAAAAAGTAAACTCCACAATGTTTACGGGGTTTAGCTCAGGATGAAGAAGTTACAGGTGATCTTGATTTTTTCCCCCAGTTTTCTGGAGTTTTTTCTCCTGAATTTTGTACAGTAAGTAGGAATTCAGTATGATAAAAATAATACTAAAGCTGTTTTTATATTAAAAAAATTCTGGTTAACATTTTGAAATAAAAGATTAAATTGGTTCAAAGTGGTTCAAACTTTAAGTGTCTTGGGATCGATTTTTAAACTTTCCTTTTCCCTACCATCTATACTGGTTTTTAATCTCACGTTTTAGAAAAAGAATATCTATCAGTTAACAATTAGGTGAAGTAACTTTTCTAGATTGAAAAGTCTAAGGGGTTGATAGTTTGGCGGTCATGAGAATGGTACTCTGGCAAACATAAGAATCCTAAAATTATTTTATCTTGCAGGAAAGGAAGAATATCGTAAGATTAAAAGGCACTTCTAAAAAGTATAATTGTGCTCACCCAACTTCCTAGAAAAATATCTTTCATTGTTGGAAATCTTCACTTCATTCATTCATGTATCGGAGGGTCAACATTTCATTTTTGATAAAAAGTAAAATCTCAGTAAATGTGCTCCAGTTTTGTTTATTCCTAGAAAAGCTAGCTTTAAGTGCAATCCCTGACACCCTGTCATCTACAATGGGCCAAATTCTTATTTATCCCATACGTATAAATAATCTGTAGCAATGTTACTAAAATATGCTCAGTTTTAGCCTTCAAATACAAATGTGTCTCATCCGTATTTCAGGAACCTCACTCAGCTGTAGACAATTTAACTTAAACTTCTTTTTCTAAGATTATCAACAAATTGTCCTTTTCCTCAGAGCCTAACACTTTGAGGCGCTTAAATGGAAATCCTGTTATGGCTTTTTTTTTTAAGCATCCTTCTTCATCAGTATTTTAAAGGCTTGTAACCCCCTGCAATTTTATCTAAGGTAAAATATGTATGTTTATATGCATAAATACACACAAACATTTGTGGCCGAATCTCAGCAACACGCTTGAAAGGATTAAACATGCGGTTACCGTGACTAAATGTATTCATTCTCTCTACAAGATTTAGAAAAATGTAACGTTGCAGGGAGAACTAGGTCTCTGTGTAAACCTTGTAATCACCACCAAAAGGCCATAGCTGGGAGCCTCCCAAGCCTCCAAGCACACTGGAGGCATCCACAGCTGTTTTTAATTGTTTTAGCTTTTCAAAATAGTGCACTTGGTGGGGCAAACGGTGTTGTTTGCTGCGTCTCTGGCCCCCAGCCGGGGTTAACCCTGACCTGAACGCCCTGTTTAGCTCCCAGCATTTCATGATTCCGCTTCCCCGCTCCATAAAACCTAAGAAAAACGAGATCTCCGCCGCCGAGAAATGCTCTTAGGAAGAGGGGGAATTAGGTGTTTCAAATTGCACATTTTTGTGATCTCTCCCGTTCGGATTCAAGGAAAGGAAAGACAGGACGTGTTTGTGTGGAAAGGGACGAAGCTTGACACCCATTTCCTATGGCTTGTCTCCGGGCCGCAGCGCCCCATTCGTGTGGTAACAACCCCCGGAAAAATGGGCAACGACCCCCCAAGTCTTTGCTGCAGGGATGGGGAGAGGTCCACCACCAGGGCTGGGAATGGGGGGGGGCGGAGGAATGGAAATTGGAGATGGAATTTCTGCGCGTTCTGGGCAGGGAGGGGCCCGCGGGGGCGCGGAGAAAAAGAAAAGGCCAGGGGTCAAGCCTGGGAAGGGACTCACAGAGCCCGGGAATTGGGGTATGGGGTGTCCTGGAGGAGGGGTATAGTAGGGAGAGGGGCAGCAAGAGGGGCTGACACCCAGAAAATGCACCCAGATACCCAAAACCCGGGCGGGGGATGGGGAGGCGGCGGCCTGTTGGCCCCAGGACCTCCCGTCGCGCGCGGGCCACTAACCTGTCAGCAAGAAGGTGCCAGTGGTCGCGGGGCTCATCCTGCGTGTCCCCCGACCCTGTCCTGTCCAAGCACAAGGGTCTCCCAGCTCCCACCACCGGGGCAATTGCATTCTTGGCCTGGCTAGGCCGGCCGTCCTCGATTCTCCCCTCCCCTCCCTTTCTTCTTTCCTCCCAGCTTGGCCAGTTCAGCATCAGCATCCTGCACCCCCTCCTTAATCCCGTACTCCCTCTAGCGGCGGGCCAGTGTAGCGTGGCCATCGCCCCCACCCCCATCCCCCATCCCCCCCTCCACCCCCGCTCCCCCCCGCCCCCCTAACTCGCGGAGCACGCTGGGATTTGGCGCCCCCCTCCTCTGTTCAGCCTATATAAGGCTCCCAGTCGGCGTTCCCGGTACACGCGCTTCAACTTCGGTTGGTGTGTGTCGAAGAAACCTGACTGCGACCTGGGGAGAAGAGCGAAGAGGGTCCACCGAGCCTCGCGAAAGGTCCGCTGAGCGGGCTCGCGTCCGGAGCCACTCCGGGCTGCGGAGCACCCAGCGGAACCCACGCCTGGCACAGGTGTGGGATCCCGTCCTCCTGTCTTCGCAGAGGAGTCCTCGCGTGGTGAGTATGCGGTGAGGATGTTTCTTTTATTAAGATCACATTCATTCTCTGTCCTTTTCGGGAGCTGCGGGAGATGGAGTAGTGCCCCTGAATGTCTCCACGCAAATCTTGTCACGCCTTCACTGGCAGTACCCCAAAACAGAGTGGAGAAACCAAGCCTTCAGGGCTTTGATTTCCAGGACTCAAGTCCGGATAAGTGCTGTAGACAGACATGAGCTGCAGACAGACATGAGCTGCAGACAGACATGAGCTACAGACCGATTTGCAATTTGCTCTTCAAAAGCGCTACGTAGTGATAGGCGCTACAAACTAATTGGCGCTTCAATGCGCTATAAGCTGATAAGCGCTTCAAATACGCTATAGACTGGCGCTTCCAATGCGCTACAGGCTGATGGGTGCTTCAATGCGCTACAAACTGATAAGCGCGTCAAATGCGCTATAGATAGATGGGCGCTTCAGTTGCGCTATAAACTGATGGGCGCTTCAATGTGCTACAAACCATTATGAACTGCAGCAGTATATGAGCTGCAGACTGATGACTGATTTGCGCTTTAAATGCGCTACAAAATCTGAGCTGCGGAAGATTAGCGCTACAAAAATGATACCATTCGCACTACAACAGCGGTTCATTGTGCTCCAAGGCACAGGAACTGCAGAGGTACATGAGCTGCAGAGAATTTACACCTAAAATGCGCTATAAAGTAATAACAGCTGCAGAGGTATACAAGCTGCACTGTTTTACGCTACAAAGAAACCAGCTGTAAAGGGACAAGAGCTGCAGAGTAAGATTACTCTGTCTTCTTAGTGGGGGACCCCACCCTTTGTCTCTAAACACACCTTTTGGAATGGCTCCCACTATGTTTTTCTGCAGGACGGTTGTCTGCATGATGGTGCTGTTAGACAAAATGGAGCCCCGGGCAAAAATTAGTGTTTAACATTCTGCCCACACCATTCCTGCTATAGCAGTGGAGTGGAGGGGCGCTGACTTGAGTGTATAAGGGAATCTTTTGGTGGTGGCAGAGCGGGCTGCCTTGCCTAGTTGCGCTTGACTGAAGTGGCGGTGTAGTTGTGAAGGTGGCGCGAATTGGCGTCCAGCAACAGTTTGTGGAAACTGTTGGTTTGCTTAGTATGGGGGGGTGTTGGATCTGGGGGTGATTGCTCTGTTGCATGAAATGAATCTGGCTGTGGAGGCTGGTGGGAGGGGTTTTGGGAGGGGGGATCCTGGGAGAGGCAAACAGCCAGTCTCAGACCTGCCCCGCCCATTCTAGTGCGCCTTCTCTGCAGTATCTGCTCAGAGCGTGCTTAGCGCCTCCCAGCGCCTACTCAGAGCGCGCCTCCTCTGCAGCGCGCCTTCCTAGAGCGCGCCTTCTAGACCCTCTCTCCCCAGCCCCGCCTCTCCCTGAGCCCCCTCCTCTGTGGTGGCTCCCCCCCCAGACCCCGCCTTTCCCTGAGCCCGCCTCCTCTGAGGCTGCTCCCTCAGACCCCGCCTTTCCCTGAGCCCACCTCCTCTGAGGCTGCTCCTCAGACCCTGCCTCTCCAAGCCCGCCTCCTCTGAGGCTGCTCCTCAGACCCCGCCTCTCCAAGCCCGCCTCCTCTGAGGCCTCTCCCTCAGACCCCGCCTCTCCAAGGCCGCCTCCTCTGAGGCCTCTCCCTCAGACCCCGCCTCTCCGAGCCCGCCTCCTCTGAGGCAGCTCCCCCCCGACTCCGCCTCTCCCTGAGCGCTTCTCTGAGGTGGCTCTCCCTTTTCTACCCCCCGCCCCCTGAGCCTGCCTCCTCTGAGGCGACACTCCCAGAAAGCGCCCCTCCCTAGGCCTGCCTCCTCTGAGGTGGCTTGCCCAGACACCGCGTCTCCAAAGCTTGGCCCCTCCCTGAGCCTGCCTCTTCCAAAGTGGCCTGTGGCCCCGCCTCCCAGAGCCCGCCTGCGCCTGCGCAGTATGAGCCCCCCAGCCCCGCCCTACAGGCCCACCTCCTCTGCGCCTGCGTGCCTTCATGGTTTTCACTGAGCCTGGCTGCACAGCCCCTCCCTCCTGTGGTTTCTTGGTGGCGCCGAATCTGCTTTTTATCCACTAGTGTCTAATAAATATAAGAATAATAAATAAGAACAGTTAGCAACAATGGTAATTATACCTGGCATTTACAAGCACTTTTTGCAAGTGCTTTGCATATACTAAATAACACAATTCCACAATTTAAACTTGATAGTGGGTTATGAAAAGTGCTTCTGAGCAGACATGGCTGGTGCCCCTAAGGGCAATCCAGCTAAATGTTTTTACTACAAATGAAAAATAAATTGTTTTGAATACTTTCACATTTAAGGTTTTTTTGAGACACTAATGGACACTTGTGGTGACTAACTGGAATCAGATTCTTTGGTGGACACAAAATAAGGAATAACTTGAACTGTGTTTCATAGGAGTTTTAAGTGCCTTATTGGTACTGTTGGCTTGGCCTTGGGGCAAGGATGAGGTGTTTATCTGTGTGCCTATGAAGCTGGGTTTTTTTCCTTGGAACTCTAAGGGATTAGCCCTGGCTAACTTGCCTACATATTTATTAATTGTGCCTGGCACATAGTAGGCATTCATTAAATATGTGTTAAATGACCAGAGTAAATTGGCTTATTCAGTGCCGCCTTTGGTGTCTGCAGGTGTTTTCTGGGTTTTTTTCTATGGTGCTTTGCTGTCCTGGATTGTCCAAGGCATTGCTTGCCTTATCTCTCACACTTAACAGGATCCAAAAAAACAAAAAAAGTATGCATTTTTAAACTTCAGTAATGTAAGCTGTAATTATAATACAAAACTATACTTATATAAGATATTTAATTAGCTTTTTAAAAATGAAAAGCAAAAGCTAATTATTTGGGGTGAATGGAATACTTAATGGTGGTACATAATTGTCATATTTAAATTTTGTATAATGTGACGTCAAGTGGTTACATTACAAAATACAGATTGGAGGGTTTTAACTGGCATTATAAAATATGTATATAAAACAAATTGATGCCTTACCTTCAGTCAGAGTACCATGTTTATGTTTCTAACTAAACATAACTTTTAAAACCTGGTATCCTATATTATAAGCCATAAGCCAGGACTTTGACTCCCAAATATCTGTCACCCCCCACAAGTATACAATTTACATATTTTTACATATTTATACTTAAAGTAATTACAGCTTTCAGTTAGTCCCCAGGCCCACCTTGCCCCCCTAACCCCCACCCCCTTTGGAAATTTGTTATCTGCATTCTTTTAAAGTTCAAAACAATGGTAAAAATGTGTGTATTAATATACTTTGCATTTCTCAAATAGTACACATGGTACTAAAAAAGAAATTGGGACATTTGAAAATGTAAAGCAATTAAGAGTTGCTTAATGAAGTCATTTTCTAATGAGATATTTAATGTGCAATGGTTTTTGGCTACTGTTACTCTTCGGTGTGTTTGGGGAAAAGAAGTTTTTAGACGTCATCATGAAGAGTCAAAGATTAATCAAATGTATTTAATTCCTGTATAGACTAACAATGAATTCTTTTTCATATGTAAAGGTGACATCGGTCCCATGTGGCTTGGCTCTATGCTGTGTGTCCTTTCAGGTTTTAGGAATGGGGCCTCTTGACCCCGTCTCGGCAATCCAGCACCTAGTAAGGGGGGGGGTGGTTAAGGAGTCATAGTTCTATAATTCAAATCAAGTCACAGTGCTCCTGTTTCCATGTTAACTGGTGCTGTAGTTGCTATTTAAATATTTTTAAACTTTATTTACACTGAATGTTAACCTGCCTGCCCACCCTCCTTTCATTTTTAAAGGTTAAACTACTCTTCTCTGGGCAGTTATCTCCTTTACGACTTAGAGTCTCACCCCAAAGTTCAAAACCCCAGAGGTGGGTACCTGATGCCTGATCTCGGTAAAGGTCAGGGGTCTCAAACTGGTGAACTTGGAGGTCAGATAAGGTCCTTAATTTGACCAGCACTGGATTAAAAATCTGTTAAAGAATTTAATGTCTTTGGGAGGGGACATGCATCCCCAAATTGCATAGTCACAGCCCCCTCCTTATTGTCTTAACTCCAGTTTCTTCTCACTTTTATGTTACCTTCCTGTCTATCAAAAGCATTTGAATTTTTAACCCTTACTGATCTTCTGATTCCCTAAACAATACAATGATTGTTTGCTGATTTCTGAACATGTTGTTATATCTGTCCTGTTATTGTGTTTTGCAGATGTTAAAACCATCAGACTTGGGCCTCAATAAAGCTCACCCCAGTGACTGTGATTGACATGTAGGTTGTTAACCTTCCTGACTTGGGTCAGGCAGCGCCAGGCCATGCTCTGAATGCCTTTCCAGAAGTCTTCTCTCTAAGTTTTGAAAATATTAATGTCTAGATGACGGAAGTGGCACCTGAGTCACCTGACTTGTGCTTATTAGTGGTTTTTTAATGGGACATTAAAACTTTTAATAAATGAGACATTTCTTAAATAAAAATTTTTATTAAATAATTTCATTTTATGAAATAAAAAATTATTACATAAAAATAAAACTTTTAATAAATAAAAATTGCACTATTTTGTGACCTTATATT